TGCACATAAACATTTAACACTCAAATTGGTGGAGAGTGGATGTGCATGTTTTGGTAGCTGAGAAAGGGAAGCTAACACGTCTTAAATCATCACACCTTCATGTAGGAGAATCATCCAGTGCTAAGCACTTGGAGTCATGGAATGGTTTGGATGGGGAGGAATCTTTAAAGGTCATTCAGTCCAACCCCCCTGCAGTGAGCAGGGACATTTTCAACTAGACCAGGTTGCTCAGAGCCCTATCCAACCTGACCTTGACTTACTGGTGTTCCTTTTGTTTCTTGCTGGAGTGGGCAGTGGCCTCGGGGTCAGAGAGGGCTGGGTGTGTGTGACAGAGCAACTCACTCTTTGAATCCATTAATCCAGCTGCTCCTGGAGAGGTGCTCACCTGATCCTGACTGTCCACTGGTACGCACACACAAGCTGTCCACTCCTTTTTTGCTGAAGCAGTCAACAGCTGATGGTGACATTGGGTAACTGCTCTTTAGCCAGCGCCAGGTCTGTTCACACTCTCCCGAGCAGGGCGGAGGTTTCTCTGAGTGCCAGGAGACAACACACTTCCTGCAGTGGGAGTTTAGATCCCTTGGCTGATTTTTGTCTGCCCCAAGTTCCCAGAAACCACAGCCTGGGTGAGGGGAACCACCTGTACTCCTGCTGGGAATCATGAGCGAGGTTGCAGCCACGTGGCCACGGCCCAGCAGCGCTTCCCATGGCAGGGAAAACCCTTGGGAAGCAAAGTGCCTCCCTGCCACTCATTCCCACACGCCAGGAAACCTTCCCACAAGCAGGAAAACCTCTGCACCCAACTGGCTCGGCTTGCTGGAAGTAGACATTGGAGAAACAGGTGCCTTGGCCTGTCTTTACAGCAGTTTTGTGTGCCCAGTCCATGTCAACTATGCAGCAAATGGTTTGTTTTCTTGGCAGCAGCAGGAAGCAGGACATTCCGGGCGGGATGGAGAGGAGCAGGGGCTCAGCAGCACGGGAGGAGATCCTGCTGGAGAGACACATGGTGACCACCTCCAAACAAAGGCAGAAACAAACTGTACTGCAGCTGGCACTGGGGAGGAACGTGCTGCAGAGACCAAGCAAACTTCCACAGCTTTAGCAGCAGCTGAAACAATAGGAAGAGTAGGTTGTAGTTCACACCATTGTTTGCAGCCTGAACCTTCTGACACCAGTTCAGCGATCTCTGGCGAATCTAGGAAAAAGGAACCAGATTTAGAAAGTGCTGTGGCAGCAGGCAGAGGGGGCCCGGCTGCAGGCTCTGACAGACAAGCTGAGCTGCTGCTGGGGGAGCTGGGGAGAGCAGGAGGGGAGGGAGCAGGGTGGGCAGGGGGGAGCCAGCCCAGCTCGGACGCCCGCCCGGCCTCCCCGCTCCTGCAGGAAGTGGACAGGGATGGGAGCGTGCGGGTCCTCAGGGATCACGTCACGCGCTGCCCGCTCGCCTTCCAGAATCCCTTACTGTATGAGTTGGACTAGGTTCATTGTTGTAGGATTTCCTTTTGTTGTTTGGTGCTTGCTGGGACTTCCACATGCGGGTTTATGGCCTGAGGGCTGGAGCAGAAGGCAGGTTCCCACCAAAACAGTTCATGTCAACATAGGAGAACACTTAGGTTGTTAATAATTCTTTAAGTCAATAGGTCAGAGTTTTCTTATCCCTGAAACAGTTTTACTTACAAGAGAGATGCAGCTGAAGGTGGGTCTGAGGTCCTGGAAGAAAATGCATCTTTATTGTTTACATATTGTTTCTTTGTCCCTTGCCACATTACAGGGAGTATTTGTAGATTTCCTTTTCCTAATGGCTCCCGCAGGGATTGCTGTGTTTGGTCCACCTAGAAATGAGCAGGATTCATCATTTTTCAAACCTTTCATTTTCTGATAACTGCAGGATTAGGACTTCCACTGATTTTTTTTTAGCAATCAGATGAAATTTCTAATTACACGGAGAAGTTCTAATTGGTCTCCTAGAAATAATCAACATCTATACCATGTATTCCATCCTAGTGCATTACTTGAGAACACAGCATACAAACATACCCCAGCCTGTCATCCCAACAAATTCAATTGCAGGATAAAAACATCCTCTCTGGTCCCATGCCTGCTACTAAGTATTTACAATTTGTAAAACGGATTCACTTTAGCCAGACTAGATTGACTTTTCAAAACCAGCTCCCCAGGAGCCCCAGCCTGCTGCTTGCTGCTTCATCTCCCTCAAGTGCGATACCCAGAAGGAACATATCTAATAATAAACTTTCAGTTCCCTTTCTCACTGCTTCTGAAATCTGTTTTCTTTTGAGTTGTACAAGACACAGATGTGCTTTAGATGAAAGTTAAATTCGACTGGCTTCGCAGCTGCTCTGGAATTAGTCTTAGATCTCTACATTCCACGTGAGGGATTGCAGAGTAAGCTTTACTTCTGTAAGGAGGTTTGGTGGAAGGCAGAGCTGCCAAAAGCTTCTGCCCTACCCTTGGTGCCAGCAGAACATCCAGCCAGCTAGAGGAGGGTGAGTGGTTGAGTTAAACCCTGATCAGCTCCTCCTGGGAGGTGTGGGAGGGCAGAGGCTCAGGCACGGCTTTCTCAGCATCTGCACTTTGTGAAACTATTTGAACGGAGCAAACACCAGAGCTGGCTCCAAATCATGGCAGGTACTTTACCCCTGGATAAAAAGCACCTTATGGTGGTCAAAAGAAACATCTGCATTCTGCCTGGAGTGTTTCCCTGACCTTGGCTCGCTCTCAAATGGACATTTAACCAATAGAAACCCATAAAGCAGATGACAAATGGTGGTAAGAGGCCTCACTCCATGCCCTTCCATTCCCAATTAGCTGTGGCAGCCAGAGTCCTAAAAGCATCAACCCCATTTTCTCCAATTAAATGAACCTTTCCCCCCCACACACCTCACAATCAGCATAAAAAAAAAATAATCCACCTCTAAACACTGCATGGCCATCACCTCAGTGTAACATTTCCTTTATCCACCATCATGCCCTGCTCTACAAAAAGCTGCTTGGATGCTGCTGGTGGCGTTTCCAAGCAGAGGGGTTGGGAGCAGCTGTGGCACTGCCTTTCACTCGGGTGAGGAGGTGCTGGGTGCTCAGGCAGGGCTCACAGCTTCCAGCCCCACCTCAGCCTGGGCCCCTTACACAGCAGGATTTGTAGGGGTCCCTTTGCACAGCTGACTGATTGGGAAGTGAACTTCCTCCCTCTGGATCCAAACAAAAGGGGGGTGGTGCCACACATCGGTTACTCTGTTCTGCTTCAATTAACCAGTAGCATTAAAAAGTTAATGAAGTTAAATGCACTTTACTACCAAGTGTGTAGCCCCCTGGATTAAAGAGAAGACACCCTCACACACACTCCCACCCCCCATCTCCTGACTTTCTAGCAACACGAGATGACATCATCTTGTTTGTGAGACTCAAGAACTTCTCTGGTCTTACAAAACAAACAGAATTTTATTTCGGCAGAACTAAAAAAATCGTATATTTATCTACATTGTAGTAAAAACAATGAATATATATATATATTTATTTTTCCTTCATATATTCATCGACACACGGCGACACAGAAGGGGATGAGGGCAGGAGGTGATCCCGGGGGCTGGAGGTGGGAAGCTGGGGAGGGCTCAGATCCCCCCGCTCGCTCCTCACCACCCCCAGGGGCACCCCAGCCCTGACAGCACCAGGAAAGAAAGATGTGCTTCAGTTCCAGCTTCCTCCTCCCAGCAAGCACAGCAGTGGGTCACTTTCCACGCAGGGGCTGCAAACGCTGCTCTGAGCTCCCCAACCAGCAGCCAGGAACCCCCTTTTCCAGCCCGTGGCTGCCAACCAGGAAAGATTACTATTTTGGGACACCTTTTACAAGAGTGTTTATTCATATTAAAGCAGAAACCAACTCATAAACGCTTGTTTGTTTGTTTGTTTATACACGGGTGTGCCTGTCAAAGACAGCACGGAACAACTCAAAGAAAGGCCAGGGCTGCCAGGAGAAGGCTCCTCACTGAAGCCTGCGGTAACTTTTACACAGTTCATGGTCCCTGATGGGTTTGCAACAGCTGGATTTCCTCCTCCCTCCATGTGTGAATAAAAAAAAACAACTGTTAAGAAAAGGAAGTTGACTGCCTTTTATTGCTAACCCCTGATTAATGAATAATGAATAATGAGTGTCATGGTAGAGGATAAAGTAGGCCAAGAATAAATGTTTGATTTCATTACATCATTCCTAAAGCCAAAATGGAAATATTATTCATTCTGGAAAATTTCACTACAAACAGCCACAAAAAAGTTTCCTTTGTAATTAAATATAGTTGCAATAGACCTTTAATAATTATGTTTCAATCTGTTTTGGTCACTTTTTTTGGCTTTTTATCTTGGCTTGTCAAGATACCAGGATAAAGATAGAAAAGACAAAGAGAATCATGGGAGTGAAATAAAGGAAGTTGACATACAAGGATAAATTGACAGGTGTGATTTCTGTGATTCCACAAAATTAGAGAGCCTTTCTGATTTGTTCCTTTTGAACTGTTATAGTACCAAGAATGAGTTATTTGTTATAATTAAAGGATAATGCTATATTGCCAAAAAGTAGTATGAAAGGCTGATTAATAACCCAAATAGCCAACATGTATAATTTATAGGTGTTCATGGTAATTGAGAAGGCAGGTGGTTTTATGTGAAGATTTTATGTGGAATAAACTGCTAGAATAAGAGGTATCTTTTTACCAAGCAAGTAACACAAAATTATAGTATGTGTCTTGAATCTTTTTTTGTTTCTTTAACAACAGTATATTTCAGTATACCAATCTGGATTATTACATCATAAAATTACCCTTTTTTCTCATTAAGTGGTAGGGCTTTGAAAAATCTCACTTTCAATTTTTGCTGTATTGTCATGAAATTAGACGAAATTCTAGATGATTCTATATGCGCTGCTCTGAGCTCCCCAACCAGCAGCCAGGAACCCCCTTTTCCAGCCCGTGGCTGCCAACCAGGAAAGATTACTATTTTGGGACACCTTTTACAAGAGTGTTTATTCATATTAAAGCAGAAACCAACTCATAAACGCTTGTTTGTTTGTTTGTTTATACACGGGTGTGCCTGTCAAAGACAGCACGGAACAACTCAAAGAAAGGCCAGGGCTGCCAGGAGAAGGCTCCTCACTGAAGCCTGCGGTAACTTTTACACAGTTCATGGTCCCTGATGTCTCCCCACCCTCCGTTTTTCACGTGAGGGGACAGGGGGGCCGTGGAGTACCTTTTACTGACACTCATGGTTTCGGGGAACAGGTACTGTTGGTTGCTGCTCAAGAGAGAGTCGATTTTGGCACTCTGGGTGGCCGGTCTGCAGGCCTTCTTGTGGTGCATGCCACAGTCCCCCGTGTGAAAAACCCGGGGGATTTCGGGAACCAGCACTTTCCAGAACTTTGGAAGACAGGAGACAGTCAAGTGCTGCAGGGTCCAGTCCCAGTTGTAGTCATCGTAGGTGCAGAAGGCGTCCGTGCACTCGATGAGCTTCTGGTAGGTGTCCCTGCCGAAGGCCATGCCCATGTTGTGCTCCGTGGACTTCCAGGTCTTCACCTCCACCTTGTCGGCGCGGCCGGCGAGGCCGCCCCGCACGGGGCTGTAGGTGCCCAGGGACACGATCTGGCAGTCGGGGCACTCCCGTTCCCGCAGGGCCCACAGCTTCTTGAGGACGTGGTAGAAATCGGGCGCCAGGTAATGGTCCTCCTCCAAGAAGAGCACGGGCCCGGCGTGCTCCCGCAGCGCCCGCAGCCTCTCCCACACGAAGTGCAGCTTCCACCACCAGTGGTGCTTGGTCTGGGAGAAACGAGCCTCCCGGTAGTGCCCGAACGAGTCCGGGTACTCGGCGTTGATGCAGCCCATGCGCAGCGCGGCCTCTTTGCCCGCGTCGCGGGGGCAGTCGCGGGGGTCGTGTCCGGGGAACTCGCGTGGGTAGAGCTGGATGCTGAAAGGGAAGAAGACCTGCAGCACGGGGCAGAAATCCACCCG